CTAAGCAGGAGACAGCAAAAACCCTGGCAAGGAGAGGCTTGGTCTATGAAATGTTCATGACCACAGGGAGATACGCTGATACAACTGAACAATTAAAATTATCACAGGATGCCTTAAGGGCAATTACTACAGCAGCCATAACAGCGTGGAAACGTCTACCCTCTGCTGACGCTAATACCACAGGGCTCGCAAATATAACACAGAATCCAGAGGAGCCATATGCAGAATTTGTGGCCAGGCTTACGGAAGCTGTGGAAAGAGTAGTTCCTAGTTCTGAAGCAAGAGATATAATTTTGAAACAATTGGCTTATGAAAATGCCTCTACCACTTGCCAATCTCTACTGAGACAAGTAAAGAAAACAGGGAGCATTTCTGACTACATCAGAGCGTGCATGGATATCGGTCCCTCTTACTTTCAAGGGGTGGCAATGGCAGCCGCACTGCAGGGATGTACAACCACTCAATTCCTAAATAATCAACAACTAGGACAGTTTAATCAAAGGAACATGGGGCTTAGATGTTTCTCATGTAGACAAATAGGACATATCAGTAAACATTGTCCCATTCAAGGAGGGATTAATACTAACCCTGACTCTGGAAGTAATAACATAAACCCAGACACTCTTGCAGTGACTGGAAATATGGCCCAAAGCAGGCCTCCTGGAGTGTGCCCTCGCTGTCAGAAGGGATTTCATTGGAAGAGGGAATGTAAGTCCCGTTACCATAAAGATGGCACTCCCTTGAATGGTGCTAGCAATACCCCAATTAATACAGGCCCTTTCCCAAATCAGGGAAACGGGGTGATGGGGCAGCTCCGGCCCCAGAAAATAATGGGAGCGATAAACAACCCTTTCTTGAATGGAGATCAATTGAACAACTACAAAAGGCCACCCCAGGGAGCGCAGGATTGGACTTGTACTCCACCACCTTCACAATACTAACTCCTGACTCCCCAACAGTATGCCTTAGTACAGGAGTCTATGGACCTCCCCCAGAAGGGACGCTGGGGCTAATCATAGGCCGTAGTTCCTCAGCTGTACAAGGTATAAGAGTTGTCCCAGGAGTGGTCGATCCTGACTTTAATGGAGAAATTAAGATTATTGTACAACTCAGATCCGCCCAGGACAGCAAATAGCGCAAATATTGCTACTCCCACATCACCTTACGGGAAGCACAGCTTCTGCAGCGCCTAGAGGAGCTGCCGGTCTTGGTTCTAGTGATATGGCCTTCTGGATACAGGAAATTAAAAACTCCAGACCAACCAAGACTCTCAAGGTACAGGGAAAAAAGATTATGGGTCTTTTAGACATGGGCGCGGATATTTCTTGCATTTCTGGAAAAGACTGGCCAAATACCTGGGGAACAACTATTACCCCTTCATCTTTAGTAGGCCTTGGCCAAGCTAATAATGTTACCAGAAGCTCAGAAATATTGAGATGGTCAGATGGAGAAAATTATGGCATATTCTGTCCATACGTCATCCCCTCCATACCTATCACGTTATGGGGAAAGGACGTATTACAACAGATGGGTGTGTTATTAATTTCTGCTAATGAAATAGTCTCAGCTCAAATGCTGCAGATGGGTTATAACCCCGAAAAGGGCTCGGGTAAACAGGCCCAAGGTAGAATTGAGCCCATTATTCCAAAAATAAAAAATGATAGACACGGCCTAGGGTATCAAAATTTACCCTAGGGGCCACTGTTCATTTAACAGCCGACCCCATTAAATGGAGGTCTAACTCCCCCATCTGGGTTGAACAGTGGCCCTTGAGTGCTGAGAAAATTGAAGCGGCTACCTGTCTGGTTAAGGAGCAGCTTGAAAAGGGGCATTTAGAACCGTCTACCAGCCCATGGAACACTCCAATATTTGTTATTAAGAAAAAATCAGGCAAATGGCGGCTGTTACAAGATCTTAGAAAGTTGAATGAAATCATGGAGCCGATGGGGACTTTACAGCCTGGCTTACCATCCCCTACGGCCATCCCTAAAAATCAAAATATAATTGTTATAGATTTACAGGATTGTTTTTTTACTATACCTCTTCATCCGGAAGATTGTCAACGTTTTGCTTTTAGCTTACCCTCTCCAAATTTCCATAGACCCTATCAGAGGTATCAGTGGAAAACCTTACCCCAAGGAAGCAAAACTAGTCCAACCTTGTGTCAAAAATTTGTGGATACAGCACTTTTACAAGTTCGTAAAATGTATTCTGATGTTTATCTTGTTCACTATATGGATGATATATTGATTTCACATGCTGACAGAGCATATTTGCAGGAGGCATTACAGTTTTTGATTCAACAATTGACTTTATATGGGCTCCAAGTGGCCCCTGAAAAAATCCAAATTCAGCCTCCTTTTTCATACTTGGGACGTGTTATTCATACAGACTTTGTCTCTCCACAACCGTTCCAATTAAGAATGAACTGTTTAAAAACACTAAATGATTTTCAAAAATTGCTTGGAGATATTTCCTGGGTACGCAGTTATTTGGATATACCCACGATAGTGTTTAAAACCCTATTTGACATCCTTCATGGTGACCCTAACCCAAGATCACCACGAACATTAACACCCGAGGCTAAAACCTCCCTGGCTCTGCTGGAAATGGAACTTAATTCTAAAAGACTCCTTCGTGTAGATTATAATAAACCATGGAGTCTGATTATTTTGCCTACTGCTTATATGCCCACTGCCTGCTTATGGCAAGGAGGGCCTCTAGAATGGCTACATTTACCTGTGACTCATAAAAAGATTGTGACACCTTACACTTCCCTGGTTGCCTTTCTATTAACTAAGGGAAGGAAAAGAAGTAAAGAATTGTTTGGACAAGATGTTCATGCAATAATCCTTCCTTATACAGCTGAACAACACAATATCCTGTCCTATGAGTCTATAGATTGGCAAGTAGCTCAAATAGGATATACTGGCACCTTTTCCTATGAACTGCCTGACCATTACCTGTTAAAGTTCATATGTTTGCATCCTGTAATTTTCCCCTGTAGAACTAAATCAGATCCATTACCTCCCCCAGCAGCGCTAGTATTCACTGATGGCTCTGCCTCAGGCCTAGCTGCACTAATCATTGATGGTCTTAAAGAGTCCTTTCCTACACAGGAAACCTCTGCTCAGAGAGTGGAACTGATAGCAGTAATAACTGCCTTTGAGAGACTCAAGGACAGGACCTTTAATTTATATACAGATTCTCAATACATAGTTAGATTATTTCCACATATAGAGACTGCCCCCCTTCCTTCCAATCGCTCTACAATTTTAAACTTGCTTTCAAAGTTACAAGAGTTAATTCAGTCTAGAACCCATCCTTTTTTATTGGTCATGTTCGTGCACAAACAATGCTTCCAGGTCCCATTCATGAAGGGAACCATATGGCTGACTCCCTAACAAGAATGATAGCCTACTCCACAGAGGCAGCTCAGAGAAGTCATGCCTTACACCATCAAAATGCCACGGCGCTCCGCTTCCAATTTCAAATTCCCCACGAAGCTGCCAGATACATTGTGTGCAATTGTAAAGTCTGTCCTACTACTACAAATTCTCTCCCTCTGGGAGTTAATCCATGAGGCCTACGACCTTGTGATTTATGGCAAATGGATGTAACTCATGTCCCCTCCTTTAGAAAATTAGCATTTGTCCACGTATGCATGGACACCTATTCTCATGTCATCTGTGCTACAGCTCGCTCTGGGGAAGCGTTTAAAGATGTTATCCAACATCTATTTTACTGCTTTTCAGTTTTAGGAATGCCTAGAGCCTTAAAAACAGACAATGGCCCTGCATATACCTCAAAAGCCTTCAAGAACTGGTGCCTGACCTTTCATATCTCCCATTCTACAGGCATTCCTTATAACCCCCAGGGTCAAGCCATCGTAGAGAGAGCTCACCATACTTTAAAAACCCAAATATCCAAGTTACAAAATGGAGATCTCAAATATTCATCCCCACATCATATTTTAAATCATGCCCTGTTTGTACTTAACAATATGAATATTCATGAGGACAATACAACCCCCTTTCTTAGACACTTCTCCACAGAGGTCACACCTAAGCCTCTAGTCAAATGGAAGGACCTCTTAACCGGCAACTGGAGAGGACCTGATGTTTTAATAACGTCAGGAAGAGGATATGTTTGTGTGTTTCCACAGGACGATGATTCCCCTTTGTGGATCCCAGATCGCTTGATTAGACCTCATGGCCAGCTCACACCAGAACAAAGATGCTCCAAAGCCAAGAGTAGCAAGAAAGAGGAAACTCCCTCCAGCACAGCTCAACCCCCACCCATCACAGACAGCACTGAACATCACCACTGATGGGGATGATACCGCCATCGATGGAGATGGTGAATACCCGCAGCCAGCTCCAGACGCCTTGGCCTTCATGATCAATGGTCTCCAGATTCACCAGCCACATCCCTGCCCCCCAAAGCGACGTGCTGCCTCTACACGTAGCAGCCCAATTCCTTCTTGGGGGCAGATCAAACATCTGACATCTGAGGCTACTCAGGTTCTTAGGAATCAGGGTAAAGCCTTAACTCCTGAAAACCATTTTCTGGCAATGCTGGCAGTGATCACCCTACAGGTATTTTTATTATTCCCTTGCACTCTTGCTCAGGATACTTATTGGGCTTATGTCCCAGAACCCCCTCTCTTCCACCCGGCAACATGGGGTTCTGAGGAAATAAAGGTTGTATCTAACGACTCCTCCCTTATTGGGGGGGGAGAAGGATCTAGTTTCATACACCCTTGACTAGCCAAACACTTTAGCTTCAAAGGACACTCAGATAACCTTCCCTTATGTTTTTTTCTACACACCTCAAACCCCATTTCGGGATGTCTGCCCTTAAGGCACAGGACTCTTAGGGCTAGCCAAACCCCCCATGATACTTGGTCATTAAATATCATTTCCCCCACAGATGGGTATGTCTCTACCAGACTTACTCCTGATTACACAACACCTCCTAGGAAATTCCCAGTGTGTGACCCTGATCTATTCTTTGGGACCTGAACCCATATGAAACTGGACTCCAGGCATGTAACTCTTGTAGAAAACACAATTCAGTTTCCAGCACCCACATGGCAGCTTACATCTAAAATTACCACATTGATTACATCCATATGGTACTGTCCAGTATAAATTCTTTCATGACTTAGAAAACTACTCTTCTGTACAAAGGCTTTGCTATATTGATTACATTCATAGGGTTTCTCTCCTGTATGAATTATTTCATGACTTTGAAGAGTATTCTTCTGTGCAAAGGCTTTACCACATTGGTCACATTTATATGGTTTCTCTCCAGTATGAATTCTTTCATGATTGTGAAGACGACTCTTCAATGCAAAGGCTTTACCACATTGATTACACTTATAGGGTTTCTCTCCAGTATGCAGTCTTTCATGGGTGAGAAGATATCTCTTCTGTGTAAAAACTTTACCACATTGATTACATTCATAGGGTTTCTCTCCAGTATGAATTCTTTCATGACATTGAAGAGAAATCTTATGTGCAAAGGTTTTACCACATTGATTACATTTATATGGTTTCTCTCCAGTATGAATTCTTTCATGACCTAGAAGGTTATTCCTATGTACAACGGCTTTACCACATTGACTACATTCATAGGGTTTCTCCCCAGTATGAATACTTTCATGTTTGTGAAGACTACTCTTCAATGCAAAGGCTTTACCACATTGATTACATTCACAGGGTTTCTCTCCAGTATGAATTCTTTCATGATTGTGAAGATAAATCTTCAATGCAAAGGCTTTACCACAATGATGACATTCATAGGTTTTTCTCCAGTATGAATTCTTTCATGACTTTCAAGATGACTCTTCCTTGCAAAGACTTTACCACATTGATCACATTCATATGGTTTCTCTCCAGTAAAATTCTTTCATGACTTTGAAGATTACTCTTTTGTGCAAATGTTTTACCACATTCATTACACTCATAGAGTTTCTTTCCAGTATGAATTCGTTCATGACTGTGAAGACTATTCTTTATTGTAAAGGCTTTAACACGTTGATTATATAAATAGGGTTTCTCTCTTGTATGAAATCTTTCATGACTGTTAAGATTTCTTGTCTCTGCAAAGGCTTTATTACATTGATTATGTTCATATGGTTTCTCTCCAGTATGAATTCTTTCATGTCTGTGATGATCACTCATCTGTACAAAGTCTTTACTACATTGATTAAATTCACAGCATTTCTCTAGAGTTTGAATTCTCTGTACTTGATGCAGAAGACTGTCACATGCAAAGGCTTTATTCCTTTGATTATACTCATAGGGTTTTCCTTCCAAATGAGTGTTTTGGTGTTCTTCTAAAGAGCAATCAGATATAAAGGGTTTATCATGTTGATTACATTCATTACATTCTCTTCGTTATTGGTTCTTTGGTGTGATTGATGATGCCTGTCAAGCCTAAAGCATTTAGTAGATGACTCACATTTATTATTTTCTCTTCCCACATGAGACTTTTCATATCTTTGAAGAAAACTTGAAGAACTCAGGGTCTGACCAGACTGATTGCATTTATAACATTTTCTTATACTGTAAGCCACACTACATGTGCACAGTGAACCAGTAGAGTGAGATGAATTTCCATATTCCTGGTACTCATTAGGTTTTTCTCCAATGAGAGTTTGTTGGTGAATTCCCACTGAAGTTGGAAAACCAAGTAATTGTAAACTTATATCACAGTCATCATGTCTTCTCATAGTGGGGACTACCACATATCTTCCATTTGATCTGAGAATGCCAGAAGTACAATGCTTCTTTCCATACCCCTTTTGCTCACATGTATTGTATCCAGAGTGACAGATGACACACCTGGGAAAGGAAGATAAAAAAAATAAAGGGTTTTCACATTGGATTCCCATAGTCGAATATTTTGTGTGTTATACAGATGCAGAATAGAGATTCGTGTTTCTACACCAAGACAACCTCCTGCTCTCTCATACAGTGCTTCTCTCACTAAACTATGCTAAATCACCCACTACAAGTATATGAGCAATGCTAGCTTTAATACCAAAGGTTTGCTTATAAAAGGTCTTGGCCATACACTAATGCCCTCATCAATGATATGATAATTGGAAGGCATGATGGTAATTGGTTGGACAGTTCAACAACATGCCTCTTACATGGCTATGATTGAAACTGTGACATCTGTTGTGGCATTGTTTCCTTGTCTTGTCCTCAAAGGAATGCTTTGAAAACAGTGATCAGCTACCTGATATTGGAGTATATGGTGTTGTGACAATTTAATAATCCTCACAAAGCTATGCCTATTTCCACAGTTGCTTTACATTAAAATTTCAGGACACATTAACATTTTTTCAAACTGTTTGAAATCTCCTGCTCAGGCAGCTCCATTGCAGAAAGCCCGCCATCCGTGGTTCCTCCCCCAGAGATGTCTAGGACCATGGCTACTAGCTATTTAAGACCCAGTCCATACATCTGCCATGGGTGCTCTCATGATATGTCTTCTGCTTTCCTGAGAGCCACCTGAGAGTGCTCTCCTTTGCGCTTCCCTGTTTATTAAATCTGGGTTTATTAATTCAGTTTGCTTTGGCTTATTGCATCAGTGACAGAGGAACCCAGCAACCGGGGATTGTATACTTATCTTTGGTGCACTGGGCGGAGTGAGTAGTCTTTTCACAAATATGTGGTGTGGCTGTGGAAGGACATTCATTATCTCTCCCCATTCCACTTTTACCACACGGAATGAACAGCTCAGTAAGCCTCCCATTCCCAAACAAAAATGTCTTAAGAAGTCCGGGACAGGAAGACAGGCACGGCAGAGGCAACAAGCAGAGGCAGGAAGGCCCGCAGCAATGGTGGCAGAGACATACAGGACCAGCGGAAGCCAGCAGAGACATACAGGCCAGGTGGCAGCCCGCAGAGATAGACAGGCCCAGCGGCAGCAACAGGCAGAGGCAGGTAAGCCTGGTGGTGGCAGCGGCTGGCAGAGACATACAGGCCCGGTGGCAGCCAGCAGAGACATACAGGCCAGGCGGCAGCCTGCAGAGACAGACAGGCCCCGCGGCAGCACCAGGCAGAGGCAGGTAAGCCTGGCGGTGGCAGCAGCCAGCAGGGTCATACAGGCCCTGTACAGCCAGCAGAGATAGACAGGCCCAGCAGCAGCAACAGTCAGAGGCAGATAAGCCTGGCTGTGGCAGCAAGCAGAGACATAGAGGCCTGGCGGCAGACCGCAGAGGTAGACAGGCCCGGCGGCACAGGCTGACAGGGACACACAGGCCTGGCAGCAGCCAGCAAAGACATACAGACCCGACGGCAGCCTGCAGAGACAGACAGGCCTGGCAGCGGCAACAGGCAGAGGCAGGTAGGCCCGCAGCGGCGGTGGCAGGGGGACATACAGGCCCAGCGGCGCAGACAAGCAGACGCAGGCAGGCCCAAAGTGGCAGCCAGCAGAGGTAGACTGGCCCAGCAGAGGCAGTCAGGCCCAGAGTGGAGGCAGGCAGGCACAGCAGGTGGTGGCCAAAACACAATTGCAATAAAGACCAGAAACTGAGCTATTACCTGCTGAAGAGATAGTGAAAACAAATTCTTAATCAAAAGCTTGGAACAGAGACGCATCTAACCCCAACAGCCGTGGAAAAAGCTATCTCCGTGGGACGGAACCAGAATGAATCTGAACACTCCCTCTGAGGTCAACCCAGGGCCCAGCTGCTGATCCTGAAAAACCAAACAACTTGGAGGTGTTGGTGAGACTACACCACTCAGCTGAAATCCATCCGGGACAGGATTCACATCCCTACAGTTTGAAGTCTGAAGAAACAAGATCAGCTGAGGAGTTAATGAATGAACAAAACATGATCTGGGAACACAGAAGAAGGTGCTGCCCAGCCACCAAACCAGATCACCAGAATCATAAGTATATAATTCACCGACTGAGATCATCTGCTCCTGAAAAAACAACCCAATACCACCAATTTAACCAAGAACTCCTACTAAACCAAGACTAAAAATTAGAACAAGAGAGGCACTCTCAGACACAGACACTACCTGCACCGCACAGAGGAAGAGATGAGTAGAAGCCAGTGCAAAAATACAGGCAACAACATAAAGACCTATATGGCAACATCAGAACCTAGTGATTCTACACCTGCAAGACCTGAACATACCAAGACAGAATAAAGAGAAGAAATTAACCCAAAAAATGAATTAAAGAAGATGATAGAGGCCCTTAAAGAAGAAATACAACATCCCCTTAAAGAGGAAATAAAAAATTCCCTTAAAGAGGAAAT